AAGAAAGTCACGTATAGGAATGTTCCTACCGACAAGCCTTCTAACACCATGATGACCACATCTATGAAAAAGAACAGACTCATTAAAAGAACGAGTATTTTCTACATCTGCAGGTGACGTTCGCTAACCTTTCGTGGTCGAATGCATTCGAGCCTGTTCCACGCCGATGCCCGTGCCGCAGCCGATTGGACTCATGATTGCAAATACAAGGATTGAGATGATCACCAGACCCAACTTGTGGGCATGAGTACGGGCCAGTTGAACCCCCACACCGAACGAGACCACGCATTTGTGAATAACTATGCTGAGAAACAACGCTACGGCGGCTTCGCTGCTTGATTGTACGCCAAGAGCAAGACCTGAAAGTCAAAATACAAACTGGAAAACTACGACAACAGGGTGTCGTAAGAAAAATTCCACGATTACTAAAAAAGAAGCAGCTGTAAAATTCTCATTCATATGTCATTGCCCTTTTAAGTCGCTTAAAACTCTCTATAGCCTATAAGTTCTTAACTCAGCCAGTTAGTAGTTTAAAATGAATATCAAAGTGTTCAGACATAATCGAGTAAAATATTAAATTTATTTTAGCAGTTCATAGCAATAATGATATATGACAAAGGATCACAAACACCGCGCGTCCATTCGGTCTTAGAATAGCAACATTCGAAACTTCGACGCAATTATCAAAAGCAGTGCCTTAACTCGACACATTCAACTGCAGTCAAACCTACCTTAGCATGTTCGTGATGTCATCCCTTGGAAAGGCAGAAAAAGAAACTTCTTCAGTGAACGAGTTTCAAAAATACGTACAGTTTATATATTCAGAATGACAAAGGAGATAAAATACAGTAGTACAATAGTTTTAATTGGCAAATTAGAATAAGTGAATTTAAATTATTTTCACTTCCAGGGAGTAAATCATGCTTGAAACAAGAAACTTCGCGAGTTGCGCCCATTTTAGATAAAGATCTTTCATTAGCACAACATTCGTGGTGTGAGCAACGAGAAGGCAGGAACGGGCTTTAAAGTTCTGGCGGGCACCCGTAGGAGAGAAGAAAATCGAGTTTTACTAAATCACATAAAAGATACAAAGGGCCAGAGCAATGGAGATTTTGCAGGTAGCATTACCGTGTAGGGCAGAGCAACAGCGCAACGCCAAACTGATCTCACAGGTATCTTTTGTCTAGCATCTTCTTCATTGAATTCGAACATTCTTGAGAATTGGCGATGTGCAACACATCCCACTGCCTATCTACACGTCTAGACTAAAATTTCTAGAACGTAATCACGAAGCCCAGTAAAAACAATGAACCGTCATCCAAACCGTCGAGTGTACACCAGCTTTAAAAATGAACTCTAGCCACTATCCTGAAATGTAAGATTGATGCTAATCTTGTACCTGACTTAACGAAGGTAGCGTACTATCCAAATCCAAGTTTTTAAATAATACAGCAAAATATTAATATTATGGTCCTAGACACCACTCGATGTTCTTGATCGAAAAGTGACGGATTTCCACAATGCATGCACCATCCAAGATAATCTCTAGACATTATGTTCATCAACAAATCAGGACTGTAGCAGCATGATGGACGTCGTTGATCTATGCAAACAGGAGGTTCCATTTGCGTATACTTTGTGAAGAATGACTGAACTTTATTTAGAACCAAATTGGAAGGTGACAAAAGACATAGGCTGTTAAGTCTGTATGAAAACATTCATGCGGTAAAGAAGAGAACTGTAATAGCCAGAAACACTAGTGCATTAGTATGCTGCCCTTACTTCTGGTGAATCGACCTGAAAAAGTCGCTTTCTTGGATTCGACAGGGGTGATTCGCGACTACATAACGATTTGCAGCGGCAATACACGATGAAGTGATCATTACGAAAAATTACAGTAAATACGTAACGAAGAAAGACATCTCAGATAAATGCACAATGTAAGGTAGGACAACAGAATCGATCCAACATATCACCACATGTTGTTCCATTTTGTCTAACGTTGAGTACTTCGGATGGCCTAATGGTGTCGCAAGGATCATACACCGACAACTGGTCATTTGAATAGCACTCATCTCAGACAAGATGCCATATTCTCGAAACTATCCAGAGAGCATGCCTGATAATTAATAATGTTTATTTTACCACCTTATAATCGCAGCTCGTGTCGCTGATAATAAACGGCCTGAGGTACGCATTCTGGATCACAGGAAAGAGCTGAAATTATTGATGTTCTTGTTGCACTGGACCAAGATTTACTGAAAATTAGGATGGAGAAAATAAAAAACTCGTAAAACCTGGCCATCGATCTGAAGCGGGTATATCGCAAATGGCCTCACTCTAAAATTAATTAATCAAATGGCCTTACAACGAGCTTGGACCAACTGAAGCTCCCAGAAATGACAGTGAAGAAATGAAACCCGTTGTTTTGGATACAGCCAAAGTAGAAAAATTGTGAATAGCATAAATTTATAACAGATCGCATTTAGTTGGCTCTGCATAGTTTCAAGCTGTCGGGAAAAACTCTCTTTATGAGAGAATATGAACGAAATTAACATAAATTCCATAAACAGTTTACAAACGTCAAATTATAGCCAGACACTACTTTTCTGATTTCTAAAAACTGAATTTTGAAGATATTGCATATAACTGACAGCTTAAAGCCCTAATTAGGTCCTCAAATTATTTAGATTTTATGAAAGTAATTACCTTCAATTATGGAATGAAACGACAAGGCTATAATTAATGTGATGGATCGAACGCCATGACTGTGCTCATGCGGCTTGAATCCCATCATAATTGGAGGATCTTCATCCCGTCCCTCACAAGGGCCTTCACAACACTCCGGTTCGGCGCTGACCGGCATTTCCATTCCTGAGCAGGTCCTAGACAATGAAACACGTGTGTTAAATTTAAAAACAAAAACATAAACAGGAATACAAAAATCGTAAATACACATGATCAATTCTCAGCACATGATCAAACGAAAATATGAAAGGAAATTACTCTTTCGGGTTCTCAGAGTCAAAACTACCATATGTCGTATGTAAATTCGTTTCGGAAGATAAACAGCTACTAACTTTTCCGTTCAACAGATTGTTTTGAGTTTTCTCCCTAAATTTCAACACCACGTCACATCAGAAACAAAAACAACAGGACAATTAGAAAAAAATAACATGCTTGTTTAAAAAAACTGAAACTACGAGTAGAGAAACTTTAAATACAAAATAGTTTAAGACAACAGATGTGAAAATTTTAAAGGTAAAAAAAATAGAGAAGTAACGAGCTAAAGAAGCTTCCATACAATGAACATCGAACAGTAAAATAAACTAGCGGACGTTCGATGTTTCCATGGAACGATGCTTTCCGTTGCGACATTATAAGAAAAGAAAGGACAGATACATCAAAAGCCGTTAGTAACATCAAACAAGACATCAAGGCGATACCAGGAGATGTAAGGGCAGAGTCCAGTGCTAACAATGTGTGGATTGAATTTGGCAAGATACAGAACACCGTCTCATAAATTAGTCAAATGTTTTACTATTGGAAAGTCAGTGCAAAATGAACTATATTTTTGCATTTTATTCAAGTCAGACGGAACTCTCTCTCTTTTTCATTGTCGCATTGATACGTTTACTTCTGCGAGCTCATGATCATATTCGATCAGCAGAATTTTGGAACACATACTCAAGACAGTGGAAGACAAACTGAAAAACTGCATATGGAAGAGCACTAACATAGCCACAATTCTGCAAGAAGCCAGGATAAAACATATTCTTGGTCTTGGATTATTTGGATGTCACAGATTTGTGCTACAATTTTGCGATCTTATGTATTACCTGACCAAGATCTATCTATGTTGATTAAAAGCAACTTTAGGGTGATTCATCGGTAACTAAGAAAAAATTAATCGCTTCAACTGATAGGTAAAACCCTAGTATTATAATTCTAACTTAATCTTTATTAAAGTTATTAAATACATGCGAATCAGAGCCTTATGCTATTGGAACAACAAGCATATGCCATTTAACCAAATGGAACATTTTGGAGGAACGTTAAAGAAAAACGACACTCGGTAAATGCGCATCCCATCTAGATATCTTCTCATCAAAGTAATCGTAGTAACTTCATTAATATTCCATGTATCATAGGTACATCGGAAGATATTTCTTAACTGCTGGTATGATCCATAGTATGGCCAAGATCTACTTACGAAGCTAAGCTAAAACACAGGTCCCAAGCGTCATAAAGCGTATTATTTGACAATCACCCATCAATGCTAACCAATACAGAAACCAATAAAAAAATGTTGTAAACTCCATTTCTGCAATAACTGCGGACCAGACGAACACTTAAAACTCAGCAAAACGAATGCAGAACAGCTATTGCAATACCCTGTTTATAGAATATATTCGTGAAGATATATAACGTACTGGAGATTGGTCACGTGGAACAGAACGAAACTATGAAAAGCAATCACACATATCAATTAATTAAAACAAGTTGCGGTAACAGCTGCAAAACATTCTCTGACACTGCCAAATGTTAGGGAATACTGTATACTCTAATTAATCAACATGGGCTTGCTTTGAAGATGCCGTAAAAATTGGTCTGTTTCGCCTAAATGGTCATTTCTGCTTGACCAAAATACTGATAGTCTGAATAAAAACATTTTTACGATCGACCTTGACTTTGCGCCAAAATCACTTAATCAGAGAGTCGCATTATGTAGAATCATCTATTATTTCAGATAACAGAAAATCCTCTTTCTGGCTGCATTAAAATTATGTCAAAGAGACTTGCTTATCCTCAACCAATTTATTATAGATGACTAAACCCAACGAGCTTTAATCGAAACCATTAGTTTTTATCTTGGTTTTGAATTTCAGTCAACGATCTACCCAGCCCTTTAATTGAACTAATGCGCAAATTTTAGCGCTGCAACAGTCCATTCAAAAGCAGTTCGTCGCCTTACAAATAATCGTCGTCAGGTTTAGGATTTTTGACGAATCGAATGAGAGAGACTTATACGTGGCATTCATTCGTGATCAGAGTGCTACTTTTTGCTGAAAAAACAATGCTGATCGTGTCTTTGAATCTCATACGGATCTAGCTTCGACAGGAAAGTACTACCAACAGCAAACTCTAATTTTAAGAATAGAGCAAAGGCATTCTAATTTCACGGACAATGGTTGTCTGTGCGACTGTGAGTCAACGTGCAGTCAACTAGCCAGTTGTTTCCCGTTCGCGTAGATTTCACGGCAACACGATGTGCACTGACCTGATGGACCTTCCGGGATTGCACATGATGTTCCACCAGTGCTGGTTACTCTATGACAATATGACACAGAAGAGAGCATGTCTGCACCAGTGAAATACCAGTGTTGAATACATCTTCTCCACAAGCTTATTAGTAATATCCGGCAGAGAGATAGTCAGTACAGATACTACCAAACCTAGAAGGACAAACTCCGTGATCAGGTGTGAAACTTCAAGAGCAACATTTTACTCATGAAATGTTATCGGCCCATACCTGCAGGTACATTACATAAAACAGGTCAGATTTAAGTATATATTTTGTTCTTTAATTACCTAAAATTCAGTTCATCTAAAATATTATTACAAATTTTCTTCTTCAACCTAAAGTTA